GCTCCCACAGAGTGGGTCTCCTCAGGGTGCCGTCAGCCAGACAGTGCCGGCTGGCGACCCCCAGGGGGAGGGCCTTCTCGGTGGGAGCTCCCACCCTCTGGAACGAACTACCCCCAGAGATCCGGGTGATCCCGGATCTCCCTTCCTTCCGCCGCGCCCTTAAGACATGGCTATTTCAACTAGCAGGACTGGCCTAAGGAGAAATTTTTAGCGGGATTTTAAAAACAATTTTAAATTACAAAGGCCAAATTTAAATATTTCATTTTAATTATGTTTTTTAACGATAGTATTGGGGTATTTTTTGTATTTGTTTTTATCAGGCTGTCAGCCGCCCTGAGTCCGCAAGGAGAAGGGCGGGGTAAAAATTCAATTAAATAAATAAAATAAATAATTAAATAAATAAAGGGGGGGGGGAGAGATTGGCTCTTCCTTACCTAGGGATAACCATGCCTCTCCACCCCCAAATAAATCACAAGCATATTTGAAAAGCTGCAATCTTTTAAAGTGTGATTGCTATACCGAAGGTATAGTAAACTGGGGCTGAAAGAGGAAGTCCGACTGAGTACATCCAGATTATTGATCAAATGTTTCCTATCTCAAAAGGACAAAGGTATATTGCAGATAAGGATACAGAGGAAAGTCACAGAAGATGAAGGAACACACATGACATGACACGCAGACAGGAGACCATTTAAGGATTTACAAAAAGGCACTGCATTATAAGAATTATAAAAGTATAGAGAGTGATTAGGGCAGAAGCAACACAAACGTGAAGTTACAAGATTATTCATCAGGGTTTCTGCCTGCAGATGACAATGAACTTGATTTTCACTATTCTATCCACGGAAAACTTGCATGATTGTGAACAAGTGAGAGTAGAATTTCTGAGTTAAGAATTCTAGCCAATCAAGTAAATACAAGTACTGATAGATTAAAAAATAAAAGATTCAATTTGAGGACAGCTAAGGAGGAAAATGAAGATGTTAAATTTCACCTGAACTGTGAAATGGGTGGCAAATTAATTTGATAAATAAAATAAAAAATGAGTTTTGGAGATATACTCAGTTTGAGATAGTGCAGAAGAAATATCAGATCAACCGAGTTGGATGGACAGAACAAGAACTTAGTAGATTTCAGTTATATCTTATAGGTTGCTTGTCTATAAAAAAAGCTTTTTCTCATAAAGAGTAAAACAACTCAAACTTTATTGGGACGATTGTAACCATAATAAACCCAGCCTTGTACTTCATAAATATTACTCTTTTTAAATAATGGATAATAATGATAACATCTTATTAATGCCATGTAAAAATCCTTCAGCAAGTCAATGTCTCCTCTTTCCATATTAATCATGCTTAAAGCAATACAATTATCAAGATAATGAACTAATTGACATTCATTTGCTCCTTAAACCTGCAAACATGGCCAGAACTTTTCATCCCACCTCTTCAGGACTGCAGGAGAGCAGACACAAAAGTTTTGTTTCAAGTTTGCAATCCCATAGGCTACCCACCAGGGAGTAGAATATAATATTCTCTAAAGCAGGGGTGTCAAACTCGCAATGTCACGTGACGTGTCGCATCGTATCGTGACTTTTTTGCCATTGCGCAATGGGGTGGGCGTGGTTTTGCTATGGTGCAGCCAGCAGTTTGACACCCCTGTTCTAAAGGCTTAGTGTCTTCAAGCAACAACTCCGTTGCCAATATTCCTATTTCCTGATTTATAAGGCAGTCAACCAGGAGGCATTCCCAACTAAAGGGGTTCTCTATTTTGGGGAAAAGAAAAGACCTGATGATACAGAGGTTTTCCATCGCTAGTATATACATGGCAACAGATTATTCCACAAACATCAATTAGATAACCAACAACAGGTACTGAATACCAAAAACGGTTTTCAGCTAACAAAATAATAAAGTATATATGGATTGCTTTTCCTCAGCAAAAGTTAAACGCTACTAACATTTCCAGCTCAGAGGAAATAATGGAAGCCTGAACTTGCCCAAGTATTTGACTCTATCTCATCCCACTACTAGGTCTCTGGCTCAAGTTAAAAGGTTACCTTCATCTCAAGCTGAATACCAAATTAAGTAAGCTGCATTAGAGACCAAAATGAAAAGGAACCAATGAGGTTAAAGGTGAAAATGTGGCAGCAACGGGGCAGACAAAAAAATCAAGATGATCGCCTTACTTCCAATACGCCAGTAATTGGATCCCATTTTCAATAGGGCACTGGACATTCGGATTTTTAAATCCCGGCTGCAAGCAGCCTAATACCGGTATCAGTTGTCGAGTGTTAAATGTGAGTGACCATGTTAATGATCAAATCTACAATACTGAAATCTAACACTGGATCTGAAATACCGTAACTAACACAGTGTAAATATTTGACCTGAGGTTATATGTGACTTAAAAAAACCGAGGGAAGAAGATTCATTTCAGCTTGAGTGCTGCCTGCTCTCCAAGCTCTCTAAGGTGTAGATCCCATGAGCAGGCAGGACTTACCCACAGCCCGGAACAAGCAGGCCCCATCTTCCTTCATCTGTTTTATGATGAACCCTTTCTTCTCTCTCAGCGCCTTCTCGAACCTGTGTTCCTGCTGGTGACAGGAGGGGCAGATGTCAGCAAGTTAGACAGCATCCCCATCCCACAAACGAGGGAGGGCAACATAACCAACTTCCTCTCCTGTTCTACCCACGATTACTTATAAAAAGAGGGACCAGGTGGAAAAGCCACGTTGGAGAAGAAAGATTATCCATGTGCATGAAGTAACTCCGATGCCCACTAGAGGCCGCCCACACCAAGCAATGATCATTACAACCCTGGGTTAATGTTCCCAGTTAATTCCAAATTGTGCTGTAACCAAAAATAGTATTATATAGGATTGGCAGTGATCGAAGCATGCACCATTTTATTTATATATCTGTTTTATACTCTGCCTTTTTACTTCTAAGTATGTAAGGCAGCTGACAGCATTTTAAAATTGAAACAGAGTGCAAAAACATAAATTAACCGTAACATTTGTATTGCATGCAATTAATTAAAAACGTGATCAGAAATGTCTTCAGGGATTTTTTTTTTTAATCCAAGCGAGTAGGGGCCAAACACAACTCCTAAGGAAGTGCTCCTTTTTCTGGGAGCAATAGAGGAAAAGGCTTTTTCCTATGTGCTGGAAAGATAGACTGTTGACAGCATGGGATTCTTCCTACAAATCTTGACAGATTGTCAGGTTTGTGGGAGTAATCCCTTTATTGATCCTAAGCCATTTAAGGCTTTATAGCAGTGGTGGCGAACCTATGGCACGCGTGCCAGAGGCGGCACTCGGAGCCCTCTCTGTGGGCACACGTGCCGTTGCCCCAGCCTCACCTCCCCCCCACGACCCCCTCACCGGCAGCCCCCCTGGAGGAGAGTCGCCCCTGAGCGTGGCCCACACGGAGCAGCGTAGACAAGGACATGGCAGCCAGGCAGCGTAGACAAGACTCTGCCCTCACACCCCACCCCACACAGTTGATGCTGTGGGGCATGGGCAGAGGGCATGGCCGCCATGGTGCTGCTGGGCTGCCTGGGCGATCTGTGGCGGGCCCTGGAGGTGGTGAGTGGCCCTGCGGGCAGGTGGGGGACGGAGCAGGGGCGAGTGGAGCAGGGGCGGGGCCAGTTTTGGGGCACTCGGTCTCTAAAAGGTTCGCCATCACTGCTTTATAGTCAGCCCAGCTTCTTAGACTGAACCCAGTAAGCACAATTCCCATATTCAAAAGTCAAATTAAAGCTCTTCAACTTCCATGATTGTTGTACAGAGAATGCCAGAGGTAATGAAACAGAAAGATAACAGCTAAGGAGCTCATACAAGGACAAGGCACCTCTCCAGAGGATTCATGATTACAAGCTCATTTTGGTACAACACCCATGTTTTTTGCAAATACCCAGAGCTTTAAGAACAGCACTTAATGTTATGCCTGGTTGTACAATTCTGTTTTCTGCATTCTCCTACCCATATATATCCAATTCTGCCACCTGTAGGATTAGCAATTTACTTTTTTCAAAAGAAAAAAAAAGAAATAAAAGCACCATCTTCACATTCTAATTAACTAATCCTTTCCTCTCTCCTAGAGATAAACACATTTTGAAGTAAATTCCACAATTTCATATCATAACATTGCTTCAAGAATACAGGTAAGGCAGGGGTGGCAAACTGCCGGCCTGCGGGCCAGTTTTATCATACCGGAGCAGCGCCCACCCCATTGCCGGCAATGGCAAAATAGTCCCAATACATCTCGCGACGTCACATGTCTGAGGTAAGGTTTCAATTAATGTGAGTTTGAATAGTGCAATACTTGATTTATGGCAAATTATGATGTGATAGCAACTTGTGTTTAATGTACTTGCAGAATACAGGAGACAGCAAATATACTTTGCATATAAGTTTATCCTCTTTTATAGTGTTTTATTAATATATAAACATTTATGTTTCATTCTGGAGCCAATTACCTTATTTTTCATAGAAATATCACTTTGAATTTTGTACATTTGAATAATGCAACCATTCTGTGGGATTCATTAACTGTACTAATTGAGATCTATGTATATTGAATAGGTACATTACTTTGTTCAGGAAATGATCACTTAATGACCCACTGCATACAGTCTTCCAGTAATCTATTAAAGATTTTAGTCATTAAAAATTGACACCAACATGATGGCACCCAATTAATTTTAAAAAATTATATTAATGGTAATTCAAAAGAATGCTACTTCAAATTTATTGAGCCTTTTGTCTTTGGGTCAAATAGTTTCACTGCCATCTACTGGCAGCAGTGAGAGCTAGATTTTTAAGTAATCAAGATTTTCTATTGCCTTTGTTAGCAATTCTACCTTTTCACTATTCCCTATCAGCCCCAGTAATTCTGAATTTGAACAGATTAGGGAAAGAGAATATTTGCAGAGTCAGGGCACTAGATTAGAGACATAAGGAAGATTAGGTGACAGTTCCTCTAGAAACCTCTACTGCTGTTCCTTTTCCCTTTAGTTCTGGCTTTACTCCATAATCTTGTAAATATTCAGTCACGGAACAATTTTCTGAAAACCAAAAAGCAGTCTCTAGCCCAACAGAATGTTTTTTGCTACAAGGATTATAAGAAGAGCATAAAGCAGATGACTAATTAATGAATCCTGTATTAACAAGGAATACTGAAAATTCAAAACAACAAATTAGTAGTTACTTAAAAGCTTAATACCTGAAGGTAGATTGAAAACAATTTTTTTCAAATTCATATTTGTTTTGTTACTAGAGGTTTAGGCTTACTCCAACTGTGTTCCTTGGAGACAAAGATCAACAATAAACAAAAAGGAATATACCCCCAGACAGAAAAGAAACTGTGGACGCTTCAAGTGCTACGTTTTGGTGCAAAACTTCCTTCTTTGGCTACTTTTCAAAACGCATTCTCACCATCAATTAATACTTATCAAAGAAAATACAGAGCTGGCTTCTCCAACTAGTGTCCTTGAGGGGTTTGTGTGACTCTATCCCATTTACCAGCATGGCAAAATGAGAGTGCTTAGTGACTGAAGATGGGAGCTATTGCCCGGCCTCGTCTCACAGAAGGGAGTGATGGAGCCATGTGCAAAATGAACCTTAAGCTGTGACAAACTGACAGAGCCCATTTCATAACTGCCATGCTTGTCTTGCAGGATAAGATGGAAAGGGAACTGGATACTAAAAGATGCAGCTTAGCAGGCTGCACACTGCACGTGGATTATATATTGCGTGGCTCTCCTGCCAATTTAGCAGTCAAGTCTTTATCACTGAAAGGGAAAAAACAGGGGGGGGGGGAACCCAATATGTTTTTCATTATCCTGTGAAGATTCCTTAGGCTTCCTTATGCGGGAAGATCTCTAATGAATTCTACTACAGGTAGTCCTTGGCTTACAACAGTTCATTTACTGACCATTCAAAGTTAAGACGGCACTGACATGACCATTTTTCACACTTACGATCATTGCAGCATCCCCATGGTCATGTGATTTACATTTGGATGCTTGACAACTGCTTCATATTTATGATGGTTGCAGTATCCTGGGGTCATGTGATCACCTTTTGACCTTCTGTCAAGCAAAGTCAAATGGGGAAGCCAGATTCACTTAACAACCCCATTATTAACAACTGCAATGATTCATTTAGCGAATGTGGCACGGAAAAGTCGTAAAATGGGGCAAAACTCACTTAACAAATTTCTCATAAATTTTGGGCTCACTTGTGGCCGTAAGTTGAGGACCACCTGTCTTACCAGGTACCAACCTAATGTGATCATTTAGACTTAACAGGCTTTAAAAGAACTTATACTTTTCACTGGATAAGGCAGGAACACTATGATGCTTATTTTCATTAGAAACTTTTCTAGGCAATCTGGCACATTAGGATGCAGAGCATATAAATATAAAAAGAAAATGCACTGTAATTATTGTAAGAAATGGGTACATACTGCAGCCTGATTATATCACATATAGGATGACTCTAATTCCCAGATTGCTCAGCAATAGCTGGACAAGCAAGGGAGTTATGATTGTTGCAATCCAGACACTTACAAGGTTGACCCAGGCTATGGAAACTTGAAGATACATCAACAACATATCCAGACTTGCTATTCCACAAAATTCACCGTTCTGCAGATACACTATTCCCTACAGAGCAGTAGAAAAGACATGGAGTATTCTGCTTCTCACGTAACAATTTGCTATATTTCTGTGCTAAGCATAAAAAAGAAAATTACATTATCTTTCACCTTCCTGCCTAACTTAACATCTGCAGGAAATTCCGTTTTATATATAACTAGCAGATAATGCCAAAATATATAAAGGTTATATAACTCCGCTTTGGGATATGTAAAAAGAAAGATAAACCTTTGGTGTCTTGAAATGAACATGCACCAAGAGAAAGAAGGCCTTACTTTATATGGTTCCTGACTTTGTAGGGAAGACTACTTTACTTCAAGTTTCATCACACATGGTGCACTTCTGTTCTCCATTCCAACTCAACATGAACAAGCCATCACTAATTTATAGGATGAGGAAACAGTAATTCTCAACCTGTCAACTATGCAAGTGTAACATTCTTCTTCATATTCTTTCTATTCAACAAAAAAGCCACATACGTATCACTTCAATTGTTAAAAAATCATTTATCATTTTTCTACCTTTGTTGTCCTTCATCTACCAATTCACTTCCAAACTGAGGTTAGGAAATAAATGTACAAATGTACTGGGATATGAAATTAGAGGGGGTACATGAAACCAGCTGAGATCATGACTACAGCCAATATGGTTATACACATCAAAATTGGAAGGGACCTTCAATCATTCCTAAGAGGTATGTAATATCCTTATCACAATCATCCTGAAAAAATGCATGCACGCCTGCACGCACACTCACACACACATACACACAGACTGTATAATTTGCCTGGCCACTTTGCAAAATATGAAAATGAACATCTTCCTTTCCTCATATCCTTAACTAGTGAGGGACAAGACCGAATTTTTATCTATTCCAAATCATAGATCATACCAAGAGAACTCTTAGCAACATTACTAATACTGATTTGAATG